CCAATAACTTACAGTTTATTGCTAATATTACAAAAGGGTAGTTGTATTGGTGATTCACTAACTGCAATAATCACCAACAGCTTACAGTTTATTGCTAATATTACAGAATGGTAGTTGTATTAGTGATTTGCTAACTGCAACAGTCACCAATAACTTACAATTTATTGCTAATATTACAAAAGGGTAGTTGTATTAGTGATTCACTAACTGCAATAATCACCAACAGCTTACAGTTTATTGCTAATATTACAAAAGGGTAGTTGTATTAGTGATTCACTAACTGCAATAATCACCAACAGCTTACAGTTTATTGCTAATATTACAGAATGGTAGTTGTATTAGTGATTTGCTAACAGCAACAATCACCAATAACTTACAATTTATTGCTAATATTACAGAAGGGTAATTGTATTAGTGATTTGCTAACTGCAACAATAACTTACAATTTATTGCTAATATTACAGAAGGATAATTGTATTAATGATTTGCTAACTGCAACATGTTTCCACATGTGTCTCAACTTTTACCTCATGTATCGATAAGTGTTCTCGGAAGTACATTTGTCTTTGGACTGTTATCTCTCTCTGTACAAGGCCTAAAATTTAACATCGTAGCAAAGACCTTTAGAACGACACATATTTTTGATTTCAAAATAAACATTAACTAGAATATTCGGACAGCTTGACTTTGTCTTGCATAATGCTATTGTTATCAACACGGAAAACAACACGGATGCAGATACAATCTTCCTATGAGAAATAGCCGTATGGCGATAAATTTCGACATACACTTCTTCTTAACTACTGCTCTGTCACACGAACTTACCTTACATTTATCGCCATAAAGCTCAGTTTAGTTACAACCTCTGAAGACTACGCCATAATTGATTCCTTTAAGATATTTTTCGAGACTTTTGAACATACTTGAGCGTGTTAAGAACAATAAAGTTTTCAATCTAGATCTCATAGGTAAGTTTAATTTCTAAATTAACAGAAATATATAATCTCATAGGTAAGTTTAATTTCTAAATTAACAGAAATATATAATCTCATAGGTAAGTTTAATTTCTAAATTAACAGAAATATACATTTTTTAACTTTTGGAATATGATAACTGTAAATGGCTAAATAATTTTGTACACCTAAAATAGAAGTTCCTGATAATGATTAAAACATAGTTAAGTTCTAGTATTGCAACTGAGCAAGATAATTACCCAGCATACACTGTATGCCACACCCATTACCATGGTGTGATAGCTCAAGTTTGTTTCGTGCGCTAAAATATTTTTCTTATCTAAGTGTCATGACAGTTTTGTATTTTTATATCAAATTATGTGCGTTTTATTGAGCACATACAATGTTTATTGCTAGTTCTAGATATTTCTAGACTTTTTACCACAACTTTTTTGAATGACTAATATGACTACCCTTCTGTAATATTAGAATCTCCAGTAGCTACAAGATGTTACTGGCGTTGAAAGCTTAGCTTGGAAAGTCATTAAACTTATTACCCATAAAGCCAGTTTATAAGCCAGTAATGATGTTTAAGACAACATATTAGTTTATGAGACAGTATGATAATATTTAAAACACAACATGTTAGCTTATGTTTTAGGTTGTGTTTCAAGATTGCTCATTAAAAGTAAATAAAGAATACCTACCTACAATCTCAGCACCAAACAAGAACAGTATTAAACGATACATTGTTTCCAACGGAATCTGTGAATCAAAGATAAATATTTTACACAAGTTTAGTGTCGTTATATCCTGATTGAGTGTTTCAAAAGTTTCATTCTAATGAGGCATTTTCTTCTGATCTTTATTAAATTATGTTATTGTTAAACGAAGATAAAGTCTTTTGATTTATTTTACAACAATGATTCTAAGAAAACAATTTATTTTTATATATTAATATCATAAGCTACTACAAACATATTATAAATATTTTCTGTAATTTATATTCATACTGCTACTAAAAATATTCTAAAATACTTCTGTGTATTTAGTGTTTTTCTTGTCTTTCTGTTTTCGCCACTTTAAAAGTATTATACATCTTAATATCCGAAAGTTCTGGTACGAGATTTCATTAATTGTGCATAATACAGTTTAAAGCACGGATCAGCATTATACTAGACTGAAATTGTATCGTGGTTCTTAAGACCCAAAGTATTAGTTTATGAGTCAATGATGATGTTTAAGGCACAACTTAGTAGTTTATGAGCCATTAATAATGTGTAAGTCCAAACGTATTACTTTATGAGTCAATGATGATGTTTAAGGCACGATGTATTAGTTTATAAGACATTATGATAATGTTGAAGACATTCATACTGCTATGAAAATATGAAGCAGATCAATATACAACCTAATATTAGCATTGAAGTTTAAGTGTTATGACTACTCTGATATTTCTGGTAGTTTAACGATAGTTACTCCGATTGTTCAGATATGTGTACGCTGATTGGCTGCCTCAGGAGGGAGGGGTATAGATGATGATGTCCTAGTTCCACGAAGTAGAACCACAGGGCGTGTTGCTAGAGGCACGTTGCTAGCATGACACTTGACAGTTGCAAGTTGTTATGCCGCCATGACACTTGACAAAGTTGTCTGTTGCCAGAAAGCGCATTGATAGGCGTGCCATCAGAGTTTGAGTGTTACTAGAAAGAGAGCATGCTGGTAAGCCATGAAGTGATACTAGAGGGCATGCTTTTCTAATTGATATACATCTGATGTTTCATGGTTATAAATATTCAATGAGACAGTTAGTCTATTGTGTTTTTAAGTATTGATTTAATATACATGTAATTTCCTGATCATAGTTTCACATCTATATTTGATTTATAAGACAAACTTTTTGCATTTCCTTACATTTTATATGTAAAATGCTTATCACTAGTTCATAACTATAATGTATATATTGTATAACATATATTCATCCTGAAAAGAACTTTTTGTTTAGCTTTATAACTCGATTTGTTCCACTAAGGTTCAAAGGATATACATAAATAATTATGATTAACTATTATTATTCTTACCTTCCTGTATATATGTTCACAACTATTTGTATAGAGCTTGTTTCTTGCTGACTGAAACTTTATGCATATAGGTTGGATAAGTAATATTCTCAGAATTTCAAAAAACAAATAGGTTACCCTTTCAAATTATTACTGATACATCCCAGTTGGTGGCAAATTAAGAAACTTGACCCACTGTGTAAAACCAAGTGACGTGTTTGCCTAAGGCTAAAACAAGTAATGCTTTTATTTTTACAAACTGACAGACAAACCAGAAATTCTATTTTGGTATCTGTCAAAACTTTCATAAATGTACACTATAACATTTAAACTTATTAGTTTACCAGAACATCAAATACATTTGTCACAAATAACCATAACCGAAAAAAAAGAGAGTTCATAATCATAGTCTTAAAAAAACCTTTAATTATAAATCAAGTGATTATCCAACATATTTACTGTTTAATAATGGCTGGAGACGGCTTAAATGGGTAATAAAGAAAAACTTTAATATAAGTTTAACATGACAGCAAATGTACAACGTTT